AAACAGATCAATTCTAATAGGAGACAAATTAATCTCCCCTTTAATTATAATATTTTATTATAATAAGAACTAATTAATATATTTATGTTTAGTTATTAGTTCTTATTCTTTATTGTTTTTTTTTTGTTGTTAAATTTATTGGTTGCTTTTATTTTAACTTTACAATTTTAAATTTGATTTATATGCTTTGTGTTGGAGACTGTATATAATTTTTTATGCCAAATTTGCTCACATCCGTGACATACAATACTACCAATTTTGTAGAATAATAAATCAAATTTCATCAATCACTTACGACAAACATTTTGTGCAAATTTTCCCACATTTATGTTAAAGTTCCGTTAAAAAGAATATTTAAAATTCTTGAATCTTTGGTATTTGTTTAAATTTGTGACTTTTTATGGTCAAGAAATAAATAATAAAAAAATTATGCTGGCTTAAATCGTTTCGTACCAGCCAAAATTCGATACCATTTGCATATCACGCGCTCTTCTATGAGTATTGGAATTTTTATTTATTGTTTTATATTATTTTCAGTTATTGTTGTTAAATTTATTAAATGTTATTATTGTTTCATTTGTTATTAAAACAAACAAAAAACCGGCGTTGCTCTGGAGCAAACAGGAGCTCTTAGTAAAATTAGAAATTGTCAGAAATATGGTAAGAACCCGGACACCAAACGAGTTATTTTTTTTTTTTTATTATTTATTTTGAAAATACGATAAAGGTTTTTGCATATATAATAAAATTATTTATAAATATTTCAATTGAAACTTTTTATAGAACAATTTTGTTAGAAACAGTTTTATCAGATATATGAAGAAATACTAAACTTGACTACATATTTTTATTACTATTCACATTATGAGGACATTAAGTAAATATAGTATAGTTTTTATTAGATTTTGTTTAGAGTTTCTATCGAAGTACAGATATTTTTAATATTGTTATTATTGATACGTATTATTGAAAAAAATTATTAAAATCATTTTATTATAATACATAATTATTTACTATATATCAACTATAGCATTAGCTGAATTACATGAGGAATTCATTTATAACACCTTTTGTACTCTTACGTTGTCATTTTCATGCGATGCAACAATATTCCTTAGCTCTTCAGTGCGCTTTACTAACAAACGTTCAATGGAAATTTCAATAATGCATTTCACTTTTTATAAAAATTAAATAATTTTGTTATAAATTACAATACTGAAGGGCTGCTATTAAATGGTATACATTTGAACTGAATACAGTATTTTTAATCGATTCGACTTCACCTTTACGTTAATTTTAAGTATTTGCATTTCAAATTTTTGTTCTAGAAAATTTACTTTTTGATGCAATAGGAAAAATTAGGCTGCTTTATGGCAGTCTAACAAGTCATTTTAAAGTCTAAACGAAAATTAAAAAAAATAAATATGTAATTAAAATTGAAATCAGACACATTCACCCATACAAAAGCCTAGACTTCGAAATCAAATTAAAAAATACTAAGACTTCAAGGCGCGTGCTTTGTTTATTCGATTTTAGTTAGTCACTTAATCGCTGATGGAAATGAACAGTTTTTAGTATCGTAGAATATACTTGTTGCGCCCATACAAAGGACTTTTGTGTTGCCTTCTAGAAACTCGAGGAAAATGAGTATGTCTATACAGAAATCAGAAATAATTTCAACAATAAGAAGTATTACGCATCGCTTTTGAACTACATTTTGCTTAGTCATTCAAAATGTAGCTATATTCGATTTTAAGATATCTTTCTGAATCATTAACACAATACATCTTTCATCCTAAGGACATCAAAAATTAAATGTGAATTAAAAGTGAACTGCGGTGATTAAATCATAAATTAATGTGAAAATATATACATTAAAATTAAATTACGAAAATGTTTTGTGTTTTCAATTTTTTTATTAAATTAAAACATATTAAATAAACTTTAATTTGTTATAAAAATGTAATTAATTTTAAAAATAATTAAAAGCAGTGCTTAATTTTCGGTCAATGCTCCTGCAAACAGTGCGGAACTATAAACAAAATTCGTTTGCCTTCAAGTGTCTTGAAATCTATGACATTTAATTTTTTTCTTCGCTTTATGCTCAGTCATGCCGCTCTTATAGCGGAACTGTTTTTGTTATAATTATCACAAAAAACAAAAAAAAAATATATGTATTGTATTATTTTACGGAACTATGGTAATTCCTAATGACTCGTTCACAACTCAAATCCATTAATAAGTCAAAGTATTTGAAAGTCGATTCAATTTCTATAAGTGCAAATTAACTTCGAGTGCTGGGCAAATAATTTTAGTTGTGAACTTTTGCAAAGCTATGGAGTTTTTTAAAACTTTACAATGAACTAAATAAAATCAATTTGTTATAAAAAAACAAGCCAATGGCGTGTGTATGAAAGCACAAAAAAATGTTAATGAATTTGTGAAACAAGTAGCAAATAGAAAAGTAACAGATCAAGAATAGAAAAGTTGAATAAATTTTTTTCTAGCTCATTACTGCAAGTGCCTGACTAGTAACTTACTTATTTACTTACTTACTTACTTACCTACTTGCTTACCTACTTACTTACTTAATTACACTGAGGACATGGGTCTGTAACTATGAGCATGATTATGGAGCCAAGACAGTGATAAAGCTCCAGTTAGTAGGTAAGCGAAGGTTTGGAAACACAAATATAGAAATTCAGACTTTAATACTAAGATCTATTATTATAATGCATATCTTTTATATTTATAAACTTTTTTATGTGCTACTAGTTGCAATTTAGCAGTGCGTTTACACTATTGCAATTAACTCGATAAATACGTAGTAAAAAGTGTCATATGAAATGCACAGTTTCTACAAAATGCATACAAAATTGTGTTAAAAATCTATATAAAAATGTGGCAAACATGTATACATATGATTATTAAATAAACATTTAATATTTGGAAGACCAATTTCATTAAACTGACGCTATCAGTCTGAACTAAAATTAAAGCTGTTCTTAGGTTAGATTAATTAATATAGTCTAATTCAAAGCTGTTCATAACACATATATCCAATTATCAGAAATATTAAACTCTAACATTAAAAAAAAATTAACATTAGTAAAGACTATAAATTAAATCATTTTATTTTGGAACTGGTGTTAAAAATAATATTTTATTTTAATTTAATGATATAATAAAAAAAAAACAGATTGCAGAAGAAACAATATTCTTCTTTTCTACGTTTCCATTTCCAATTGAATAATAATTCAATAATATATAATGTTTTAACTACTTAACTCAGGTCCACAAGTCTAAAATATAAAAAACCTATTCTTATCTTTTCGTCTTTCTATCTATCATACATATATATATATTATATTTAATCAATTTTCATATATGAAATTAAATTCAGATAATCAAATATTTAATCCACAATTGAAAATCAATGAATTAAGCATTTTTAATAAATATTTATTTTACTTCAGTAATACATCAGTCAATATGTATTTATTTTTCATTTGCGTCTTCATAGCAAAATGCAATTGAATCATTTGCGAAATTTAAGTTGACAGCTTTGTCATTCAATGAGTTCTTAAATATTGAAAGTGAAATATTGATTTTACTTGCAATGTAAATTATTACGTGCCATTATTGTTGTTGTCACCACTTCAAAGAAAAGCACGAAGCTACACTGTGACATTATCTCCGTCTCTCGCCTAATCTCCCAACCTAAAACCGATATAAAAAAAATTAGATCAGATGATACATTGCTTTGAGAACACGTTCCAGGTATGTATCGGGATCTTTGATATATTATGTACTTAGTCTATTGTTTATGCAAGAAAGCTTTTAAGTAAATATATATATATACGTAAGTATAGATACAAACTTGTTAACCAGACTAATATGAAAGACCTATTTAAGACATACATATATACAAAGCTATCATTACTAAAAGTAAATATAGATGTCTCTTAATTTTGCAATCCTTTAACTTAGATCTTAACATTCTTCCAATAGTAAGAATAATTTTTATTTCGTTATTAAAAAAATTGTGTTGCATTATGGTATCGAATATTGTGTTTAATTATCTATTGAGAACATATATCTCTAGTTTCAAAAATTAGTTATTGGCTAATATGTATGTTAATTACTTAGATAGCACATTACTTAGATACATAATTACTTAGATAGTCCTTATATGATAGGGCAATTAATAGTTAAGAAAACATCTTTAGGATCAAAAATATCTAACATCATATATTTATTTTAATTTGACGTATGTTATAGAAAATTATAATTGCGTACTGCTTTTTCTAAATGTTATAAATGAGTGATACTAATTTTCACACATAATTTATAAATAATTTACAAATAATTTAAACACAATTTAATTCAAGCTAAAACGGTTAAGTGCTATTTCGATAACTCTACTCATTTTCTCCAGTATCATCTAAATAGAGACACAATAGAATACTAGGTCACAGTGCGAAACCTCCAACTTAATAAACATCTAACAATTAATTTAATTAAAACGTATATATGACTAGATTATGTATATATGTTAATATTAATTATTCAACACAAATTAATTATTATTAAAGCCCCTATTCACATTTTAATTAAAAATTTGTTGTATATTTTTAAGTAAAAATATATAAATAAATAATTAAACTTTGCATAAATTAATATTTTTCTCGAGAAAAAAGTTTAATAATTATTCTGCTCTTCAACTGCAGTTTTATAAAATTTTTTAATATCACAAACGCTCTGCGCTCTCGTGTAACAATTTTTGAATATTTAATTTTACTTATGGGATACCCTACAGTAAGCCCTGATGCTTTTTAATATAATGAAATTTGCATATAAATACTGAATAAGTAATTCTCTATGTGAACAGTGGAGAGAACACAATGTTTGTCTCGTCTATTGTCTCTGAAGTTAACCAACTCTTCATGTGGAATATTAAACTACGTATATTTCTGTATTCCTAATTCTGATTAAGGTGTGTCCTCACTATAGTGCGCACTATATTCGTTACTGACCAAGTTTGGTCCCGTTTTATAGCTAACAACGTCACTACATTTTTATTTAATTTTTATGCTCTTCACGGTATAATGCTGCCTTTTCTGCGTCTGATTAAATTTTTGCTTAAATTTGCTGTAATTTCGTTTAGTAAATAAGCAAGAAAAACAGATTTATTGCCAATTGTCGGTAGCACACGCGGTGTTCCAGTATCTTTGTAACCTTCATAAAAGCAACAACATTTACAAAATTAATTCGCATCAACAACATCGAAGGCAGCAATCAACAGCAATCAGCAGCGAACAGCATTACCAGCAGCTTTAATAACAAGTTTGGCAACTTGTTGAGATTTTTTTAATTCGGTTTTGTTTTTCGAAAATGTTTTTAAAGTTTTATATTTTACTAACTTTAGTACTTCATTAAATTTTCCTCTTAAAACATACGAAACTCTGCTGCGAAAACATACGAAAATCTACGAAAATCTACGAAAATTGTGCTAAAGTGCAAATCGTGTGAAAACTTATAGATTCAGTTACTTTCAATGTCTCCCACATATCGACGCCGTCAAGAACTGTTACTGGAGTCGTTTTCTCAATTGAGCACCTACGACATGGACGAACTTGACAATGGCATTTATTGTAACGAGTCGGAGAATAATAGTGCAACAGATTTGAGTAACACAACGGAAATGGACACAATGCAGTCTAACATGAGAACTTTGAGGTTAAAAATATTTGGACTTTTGATAAAGTGAACTTTCGACTTTCGAGGAAAAGCTTTGAAAGGACCAATTCAATAACCTTTTTTTCTATAAAACTCATTTTAATATTTCATATTTTCTAAAAATATTTAGTTGGATTATTCAATTTTCGGTGTACTTTGTTTTATATATGTGTTTCTATTCCGATATTATATAATACGATACTTATTCGAAATTAAATGAAGTTGAGAACTTCTTTAACCTCACTTGTTTGTTGTCGACATTAATAATTTTGTAATAATTCAAAAAATATATTTTTTGAGGTTCTAAATAAGGGATGTTATTGCTAGTTCAACACCTGCAACTTCAAATATCATAATATCTGAACTACATGTTTGTGATGCTTCCAAACATTACTGGTTTCCAAAATAATGGTTGTCATGGTGTCGTTATGGTAGCACTTTATAGTTTTGCAATTCTGGAGACGTAACAGATAAAACTATAATACTTACATATGTATAATATGTATTTATTTAATACAATATATAGAAAGATTGTGCTTTGCAAATTCAATATTAAGATCCTTATTTTTGGTGGTTGAACCTGAAATTGTTTCTATTGAATAAACTTCAAATTTCCAATTTACTCTAAAAACTTATTCAAAATAATTTAGAAAAGGTACTGATTATTTGTAAAATCCTGTCCATATACCATATACAAATATAGTTAGTGCACTACATATTTACATGAAAATACTTTTATTACTTAAAAATACTTAATATTTATCTAATGATAATTTCTATACTTTAAGATTATTATATTATATGTAATTATATCGTTTATTACTTTATCTTACAGGCGGACTAGAAGTTTGAATGCCCCATCTCCATTTCAACAGTTTGGACCATGCGGACGTATAATGAAAAATCCAGCTATGGTTATGTATGTTTCGTGTATATAATTACAATACATTTTCTATATATCGTAAGCTACTAAGTTAAAGCTTTAATTAAAAGCCAACAATATATAAAGTTTTTTCACTATCAGAATCAAGTTTTTAAGAATAGTAGGAATATGTCCTACTGCAATTAACTAAGCAAAATATTTCATTAATAATAATGAATATATAATAAAATAAATCGATACTTACTAGCAATGAAGTACTTCAATTGATAGTTGCTGTTGTATTAGTTATTTTTAGAATCATTATTGTTATAGTCGAATATAGAACGAAGAAGAGGAATAAATAGCTTCTTCATATAATAGAAAGATTAATAGAAGATGTCAAGAGCTGTCAATAAAATCGTTAAGTACGATGATAAAAGAAGTGGTTATAATTGAATAGCACTTTATACTTTATTTTCCTTCACTGTCTACGTGGAGACTAACCAGTTGACTTTTGAAGAACTTTGAAAATATTCAATACGCAACAATATTAAGTGACAACGGTAGTAGCTAACGAGTTATTGAATATGTTTTAATATATATTGGAAATAAATTTGTTGAATATTGTAATTTGATTTTTATTTTTGTTTCTAGGCAAATTCAAGACCCCGCCAGCCAACGTTTGACATGGTACAAACCACCACTTACCGTTCTCGTCATAAAAAAGGTACGAGACTGTACGGTTTTGTCGCCTTTTGTACAATTGGTTGAGTGGTTGGTACAGGAGAAACATATGGTTGTGTGGGTAGAATCAGCAGTATTGGATGATCCGTATTTGCAAGAGGATAAAAAATTCCAGAGCATTAAAGAAAAATTGGTTTCATTTAAGTAAGACATTTTCAATAATTGATATTTATTAAATTAAAATGAATATTATTTTAAACGTAAAATTTTCTGCAGAGATGGACGTGATGATCTCACAGATCGCATAGACTTTATTGTTTGTCTTGGTGGAGATGGCACACTATTATATGCATCATTACTCTTTCAACAATCGGTACCACCGGTGATGGCATTCCATTTGGGGTCATTGGGCTTTTTAACACCATTCCAGTTTGATAATTTTCAAGATCAGGTAACAAATGTGCTGGAAGGACACGCTGCTTTGACATTACGCAGTCGATTACGCTGTGTTATATATAGAAAAAGTGAAAGACGAAGGGACGCGAATGGATCACAAAATCAACTTGAGGAGCATATGTCACAACAGCCAAGTACAATGACTTGCATTTCGATGTCAGATAATGGCATCACAAATAACTTAGACAATAAAACTTCCATGGGAAAATCAGCACATCGTGCTTCAACAAATATATTGGTAAGTTATGATAAAATACATAAACGCTAACATACAGTTTAATATTAAACTTTTATAAAATTGATTTAGGTACTCAATGAAGTTGTTATAGATCGTGGACCTTCACCTTATCTCAGCAATATAGATTTATTTTTGGATGGAAAATACATAACATCTGTACAGGGCGACGGTTTAATTGTTTCAACTCCTACAGGCAGCACAGCATATGCAGTAGCTGCTGGTGCTTCTATGATTCACCCTTCGGTGCCAGCAATTATGGTAACACCGATTTGTCCACACTCATTGAGTTTTCGTCCGATAGTAGTACCAGCTGGTGTTGAGCTTAAGGTAATTCATTAATGAGGTCTATAAAATAAATAAAATGATTCTTATTAAATTTAATTTTAATTATAGATATCAGTATCACCTGATAGCCGAAATACGTCTTGGGTCTCTTTTGATGGGCGCAACCGACAGGAGCTTTTCCATGGTGATAGCTTACGAGTAACCACTTCTATTTATCCGGTACCCAGTATCTGCGCACAAGATCAAATTTCAGATTGGTTTGCTTCATTGGCTGAATGTTTACACTGGAATGTGCGTAAGAAGCAAAAATGTTTAGATGAGCTTTCAGATTTAACTGCATCTGTATCAGACGATACGCTTGATGAATTTGAACGCCTTCATGATCCACTGCTGGATAATTAAAAAACTATATTAATCTCCAATGCATTGTACAAAATGCATGGCAAAAAAATCTTAAGCAAGTTGTAGTTTAAGCTATATAAAATTCCGTTTATTCAGAAAATCGGTTGCCAATTTTTGATGTAGCAATAAAAAAAAGAATGAAGGGCTTTGGTTAAATCTATTATTTTTTATTAATTTTTTTAAAATAATTTGTATATATTTCAATTGAAAACCTTACAAACATTTCGTATGTGTTGAAAGCAATTGAATTGAACAAACATAATATAGCAATATCAACTCTTTCGTTACTTTTTGTAAATTCTATTGTCTAGATTAAGTTCCAAGTACAAGTTTTAGTTCTAGTAACAAGTTTTTAAAGTGTTAAATGTCGTATTCGAAATTATAGAATTATAGAAAAAGCAATATGTGTGGGAAAGTATTGATGGAATATTAAAAATGATACAAATGAACCGAAGTGGAATATTTAAAAGATTAAAGATATATATATATATATATATATATACTGCATATATTTATTACATAAGACATAATCATTAATTGTTGTATTGGATAACGTTATTTAAATAAGAAATATTTAATGTAAATCGAACACGAGTTGTTTGAGCAATAAAAGTTATAATATAATATGAAATATTATTGTACTGATTGCATAAAAAATTTAATGAAAATGGATTCTTGTTTTTAATCGTTTATTAAGTTTAAAAATTGTTATCAGGTCAATAGTATTTATAATATTTCCTAAAAGGTACCTTAACTTTGGATGAATTAACTAAGCATTAGTTTATAATAAATTTGATTAATTTTAGTAAATGCATGTTCATAACTTATAAAACATAGTTGAACTCTGTTAATATTAAGCAAAAGTAAAGTATATTGCTTTGTAATTTTTTATAACTTAAAGAAACTTGTAATCAGCATAGTTTGTATTGTGCTCGTAGACATTAGTAAATCTTTTTAGTTCTTTTTTATATATAAAATATACTAAAATTATGTACTTTAAAAAATTTGTGTTTTTATATTTCTCGCAACTAAAAGAAAATTTCATACTTTTATAGGAGTAAGACCCACAACCGAATTTAAAAAATATATAATTTCAAATTTATTTCGCACACTAGAACTCGGTATTTGTTTATTTAAGCCATTCTACTTCATTTATCGTTGTTTTTCTTACTTAATATTTACATCTAATAAATTAAAATTTTTTAAACAAGTTTTTTTTTGGACGAAACATAAACCAAATCCAAGTTTATCTTCTGAATTAGACTTTCAATAGCGGTCAAATCACAAGAAATATACATTTGGATGTCATCAGCATTAACATGCAATTTAGCATATTTACAAATTATAAAGACATCATTTTTATAAATTGAAAACAAATGGAGACCCAGAATTGACTTCTGAATACCTTCTTATATATTATTGTGTATATTACCAAAAAAATATATCTTAAAAATTAAAAAGAATAAGGAAACTAATTTGACAAACAAAGAACGGTTCCAAGAACGGTCGGGTCTACGTCCCGGAGCCACTCGTCACCTACGATGACCAAGTACCGTTCAACACCTCCTAAAAGGACTCCACAAGCAGGTCCCGGCGGATTACAACAACAACGACAAACAAAGCATTAGAATGATACATTGTAGTCTACAATGTTTTAGTGTTGACCCCCCAATTTTATAAAATACACTCAATGTCAAATTTCTATATTGACTAAATATTTAAATAATGTTTAATTAAGCTATTGAATTTAATGGAATCTGTATCAGACGATAAGCTTGATAAATTGGAAAGTCCACATGGTCCACTGCTCGGAGTTCAAAGTTATATTAATCTTCAATGCATTGCAAACAAGTATTTTTAAGCGAATTGTAGTTCCTGTTGTATTATCATTCGTCTTCATAGCCGACTAAGTGCGTTCACATGTCCAAAAAAAGCCAGGACGGCGTGGGTTAGAACACAACAACAATTGACTGTTGCCACACAGTTTACACAGAGCTATAAATGGTACTTCTCATAGATCAAGCAATTGACAAAATATCAATGCAATATCTTCTTTTTGATCTCATATACATTACAATGTAGATAAAAAGGATTCTCGATGACATCTACGAAAAACAAAGATGGCTTTCCGGTGCAGTTAGGATCTTCTGAAATACAGAAACAATATACCATTGTTTTTGAATTCATTAACATATATCATATATTAAAAGTGTAATCCATATAAAAGTAAAATGGTTTAGAAAAAATTATTTTTCTCAATAACAAAATAAAATGAAGCTATATTAAGCTGTACGCAGTGTCTTATCAAAGAAATATATTTTTCTTATCTTTGAAAATATTAAATAACATTTATATTTCCTTTATTAGTGAAGTTATGTTAAGAGTTTAAAAAATACCATCTCGTAATTTATTCTACTATTGAAATAATTTCAATCTATAAATAAAAGAAGAAATATTTCTAATAATGGATGTCAATAAACACAAACTTTATTACTTAAAGTAAGAGACATGTATCTTCTGCAATCTAAAAGCATGAGGTTTTAAATTCAAATAAAAAATTTCATAGAAAAATTCGGATTGCTAGAGTAAAATTTTATGCAAAACATAAATAATGCTTTAGAAATACAACAAAAGGGTGCAAATTTATTAAGGAAAGGATTTAAGCATAACAAATTGCGCGATTAGGTCAGATTCACAAAACACTGCTTAACAAATTGACAATGCAGTTGCAGATCTCCATAGGAAACCTTAGATATCGACTTTTTGTAGTTCCCACAATCCGTGCCAGAGAGTCTGAAAACAAATAATTTTTTTTAAAAAAGAAAGTATACTTTTTGGGGACTCCATTATAATAAGACATCATTCAATTAAAATTTGCGAATATATCATTATATGCATATAATACATAGAAATGAAATCTCTTAAAAATTTTCAAGAATTTTTAAACTATACAAAATCTTAGATATTTTTATTAAATTTTATTTTGAATTCAATTCAAAATTAAGCCAAAAATTATACATTATATCTAACGACTAATTGATTGAGAAAGAATAAACAACCGAGTTAAGATAATTGAGTAGATTTTAATTGATATTTCCTAAATCACCTACATTGTAAAAAATATCTATTACTCTAAAACTAACTGTTGCAACAGACGAGGAACGGCAGTAGACAATTTACAACGGAAAGCACTTAGCTCAGCGCTTAGCATTAAATCCGTCACATTTATCCTTTTAGGCAGGACACGCGGTGCAAATCCATAACGTTAAAGGAGCAAAAGTGACCAAGAATTATTTACTGGCATGTTTATGAAGGGAGAATAAAGGAGAGGGCAGAAAGTAATACTCCTAAATTACGCCGTATAATAAATCAAAAGTATTTAGAGCAATAAAATGAAATAAAAAAGCTAAAATCACAATAAAAATCAAATAAAAATAAAATACCAAATAAAAGAAACAATAAAAAAAGGAATGAGAGAATATTATATGTTACATGGGTGAGAGCATTTTAGTTACTGCAGGACGTAATGTAAGGGGTGTACAGTGCGTTTATTACAATTATCACGCTTTTATCTTATGACTCCATGGCCTACATCCCACAGTGATAATTGCATTACAACAAAAATTTACCACTACAAGTGTATACATAAATGGGACACAACATAGCCTGAGAGCAACAAGTGTAAATTGTGCTGCTTAATGCCTTTGCAAAGGACTACTAACATACACACAGAATCCTCTGAGTTATAGCGAAAATTCTCCAAGCGCGGATAAAACGGTAGCAGATTTATCCTCAACATTCCTATTGGTGCAAATACAACCATTGGAGCAAAATTTTGCAATATTCCCGCCCTCAATTTGAATTGCGCAGAATCTTCACGAAGGTATATGTCAGCAAATAATTTATTTGATGGAATCCCAACCTATACGGTTCTGTCAGAGTAGAGAATATTAAAATTTTAAGAAATACCTTTTGTTTTAGAAATTTTCCATTCAATGTTACAATTTTTAACTATCAGAATTAGAGGATTACCAAGGTATTATATCCTAATAAGCTAATGCTATTTTATCAATAAACCTTAAGAAGAACATACTATGTAATTCGATATAAAAGTAAAATAATATACTTTGCCGTTGTGTGCTTCACATATATTTTTGTCAAGGTTTCATAAATTTTAACACTGGTCTATAAGAAATCTTCTTTTTAATATTTATAAGAATATATTTTAAGGTATGTTTCTTCTCAATTGAAACTGTTGAAAAAAAAAACTTTTATCAGAAACTAAAATGAAGTCTGAATTAATCACTTACATATTAAGTATTACATATATAATACGTATAATTAGAGGTTTCGTTCATGCTGTTAACATTTCTTTTTGATCAGTCCAGGCAATTTTAAAAGATTTTTTATTCCTGAAAAGAGTGAAATCTGGAATCTGAAAAAAATCATTCAAAGCTTAAAATCATCATAACAGCTTTTTTTGATTATCGCTGTGTTGTTCATTATGAACGACATTCATTCCTTTCGTCGGTCCAAACTGTTAACAAGGAATAATATTTTAGTGTTACATAAAACTATACGCAAAAAAAGGCGTGAACTGTGAGAAGATATAGTTTCGTATTTACACCATTTTCACACAACAATCACACTACATTGGTTCTTGAAGACCATTTTGCCCAAAATTCAACTCAATATGAGTCTGGTGTCATATCCAAAACTATCGCAGTTACCTGATTTAGCACCATGTAACTTCTGACTATTCTTTAAGCACACTAACCACTCTGAAGACTACACTTTGTTACAATGAATGTGAGTAAAACCGAAATGCTGGAAATTTCAAATGCCATTCCAAAAATTGATTAAAAGAGCCATTTCTAGGATTAAAAAAAAATTTGCATGAATCAGAGGATCACAGTATTATATCTGACTGTAATATTCTCTTAAGCAAGACATCTCAAAGTTAATGGTAAGTTGAAATAATTCGTTACACGTAGGTATCATACACGTCGATATTATATCTTTTTGTAGATACTTGAATTAGGTTAATTTATGAATACAATGGTTGATTGAACTAGTGCAATCTACTCGTATATTGGTCTGCTGCATTGGCATTAATTTTATGCATATCAAGATTTCATACTT